TACGTATGGTGTATTCGAGTTGTAGAGAGGAGACGGGCGCAGACGGATAGGCAGATGCCGTGGCTTCTTTTTGTGCACGTGTGTGTTACACAGCTTCAACAATTTCTTACAGACAAGCTGGTACTCCATCATGCCGACCACGAATTACAAAATTTGCGACTTTTCTGTCCACAACACTACTTTCACGGATGTCTCACCACTTGGAATACACCACAATTATTTCTACCACTACCAGATCTCACTGCCCAACAACTTCACCAGTTTCTCACACAATCGTTCCCCGCCAGCATACGTCGAGCCCACCCATGGGGATTCCGCAAGCAATTCTACACACCACATGGTGTAGTCTTCCTCAAACAAAAGAAATCTTGGCGCAAAGGTAGAACAGTCATCAGCTACTTCAGATCCATTGCTGGCACACTACTACGAGCCACCTCCAAAGCATTAGACATCATGCTCCTTCATCTTCTACCACAACATCCAGGCCAGTTATCCATACCCAACCTGTGGCAACATCTCCACAACCACTTCCAGACCACACCCGACGACATCCACCTCACACCAATCAATGATGACCTCGTCGGCTTCTTCAACAGTGTACCTCAGCAACGCCTCGTCGATGCAGTCATCAGCCTATGCCACCGCTGGAAAACACAACACAATACTACCACCATCACCATAGATGTTCAGTCTACTGGCAATCCCCTCCAACACTCCCACATTGGTCGACACTACATTCACCACCCACAACAACGCACCCTGGACACTCAACACATCCCCCTCATTGTACAACAAGCCCTTCACTCATGCATTTTCCAAGCATGCAACACCTACTACAAACAAATCCAAGGAGCAGGCATTGGCAGTCAGCTCTCACCAGCACTTTGCAATGTCGCAATCACACTCATCGAACACACATGGCAAACCACGTACCACAATTTCTTGCACCAACCCAGCCTTCATTTGCTCAACACCCGCTACGTTGACAACCGATACATTTTGCTCAACGAACAATACAGGTCAGCACTTCCCATCACCACTTTGGCCCATCCTGAATTTTATGAACACCCAGTTGAAATAGAGCCAGTGGACGACGACCATCTACTCGGTTTCCTGATCGATCCTCTCAACAGAACGGTCACCTTTCAACTCCCCGCTCATCCCTGGCAGATTCGTGATCCGCAGTCTGCAGGGAGTCACAGACTACGCCTCTCAGGCCTACAATCACGCCACCACACGCTACAAAAGTACACTTTCCCAAAACATCTAGTACCCACGACAGCACAGCAGTTGATGCAGCTCTATATGACCAAAGGTCATTCAAAAGAACACTGCGCCGCGGCGCTGCGGCCACGAAGAAAAAGACTATGCGCCAGCACCTTCACAGACTGCTGTTGTATACAATTTACAGTATTGAACTTTTTCGATGTCCAGCCCTTCCACTATTTATTATCCAGGTCCTACCTGATCCGATCTAGTTGCGCCGATACGGCTCTTTGTGTGTGTCCAATCCTGTTTCCAAGGACACTACTCTAGTTCTCGTTCTAACCTACCCTACGAATCTTCCAACCACTGTACAGTAGCAGGGGGCACGGCGGCCGTTCACCTAGCCGTGCTAACAAAGCTATGGTGTTCGGTTGGAAGAGATACTGGACGCAGTATCTTGTACCTGCAATTTTTTAATTTTCACTCATTGATGCTTCTAAGTCAGTTCAACGCTGTCTCATACGTTGATTTTGCAATAAAGTGCTAATGCTCTCGGCTAATGCTGTACCTAAATGTAAAGGGCTAATGCACACCGCGAAGCAGCCTGAAATCACGCTCCACGGAGCAACCTTCTCAAGTGTGTGTTTGTTGTTTTGAGGTTTCGTTCTTTTCCACGTTCATCCACTTTCATTGCTTGCTTTGGGAGAACGCTTCGCAGCTTGGAACATGAGGGGCCCTTCGGCACACGCGGAACAACGCGGGTTCACCACATGCAGCGGGTGCTGCATGATGGATGCATGGATCCCCTGGTCCAGGTGGCAACCAGGCACAAAGGGGTGCCATTCTTGGAGGAAGTCGGGGTGCCCTTGTCACATCCACTCACTGAGGGACTAAAAACCAGCCCGACATGTGACTCTTGGTGGTTTGTCTTTTGTTGTTCCAATCATGCAGCCTCGACCGGCTTTTTGACCAGGTAGTAAGTAGTTGCCTCGAGGTCCTGGTGGGTTTGCAGATCAAGATGACGGTTGAACCATTTGATCCTAGTACATTGTTCACTATTCAACCAACAAATGGGACAAGACGGAAACCCCACAAAAGAACAGAAGAAACACGCTGAAGGTATTTTGAGGCTCCAGATGCTACAAAGGGAAATTTCCGAGAATGGACTTCTGGATAATTAGTGTTGGTATGTGTTGATGATGAAATCCTGCAGCAACAAGACTCCCACAAACACTCAAAACTTGGTCTTCGTATCAGAGTGTTGACACATGCCTGAAGGTTTCTGAGTTCTCCTTCAGGACCGAGCACCGACTCTGCCCACATGCCACGGATTTGTCAGGTGGTGGACTTCTTGAAGAACACCTCCCGGTGCGCCGGCTTTGGATGGTGTTTCTCCGGATGCTCCGATGGATGGTTTGGATGTTGACATGTGGCCTTCCAGAGAGCGATGCGATTGATTATTTTTGTTGAGAGAGAGGTAAAGGGAGAGGATGGTAGAGTAGTAGAGTAGTAGTGGTTGAGGATGGTGGGCCTGTTTGGAATCTCCCAACGGAATTGAAATCAGTTGGAAGATGCTGGGAGTAGACGCAGAGAGTCGCCTGTTGACATCACCTCAGGGTTCAGGACACAAGCAGAACGGACTCGTGTCTCCTGACTTGTTGGGGGGGCCGTCTCTCTATGCACATCTGGGTGGAGTGGCCCACCATCTATGGAAGGTCATCTTGAGCCAACGTCAAGGGTGACTTTGGGTGGGCTTCTCATTTAGAACATCTTGAGACAAAAGGGGCCGGGTGAAGTACGACGTACTTCACATCGGTCGCTTACTTCGAATGCTCTCTACCTTCAAGACCACTCAGCTCCAGTGGTTATCAGACCAGGGAGGCTGCCGCCGAGTCGCCGGTCGAGTCAGTACCTGCGGTGATCTGGAACCCACCCTGACGAAGAACCAACTACCAGCCTAGGTCTCTAACTCTGACTGGCAAGGTGACGAGGACAGTGCCATTTTTTGTGTGATCTTTTGAGCGAGTTCAGGCAAAAGCACAGGCTATTAGAGCTTGCGGACTCCGGAGGTGTGATTCTTGTCAGATGCGAATCAGAAAGGGAAAAAAACAAAAACACAGAAAAAAAACACAGAAAAAGAACGGCTTTCTCGTCAAAGTATATGTAGAAGAACTGAACGCGCGATCGGATCGACCACTTCGGCACTTCGCGGACCGTCGGCGAACGGCGGGGCCCGGTGGAATCGCATGGGGTGGAAGACCTCCCAAGTAGCGCCATACTCAAGGCATTGTTTCATTTCACTTTTAGATCAGTTGCACTCCAAAGTTGGGGTGATTTGGTTTCCACAAACACTCTTTGTCTCAGTGAGTCTTCATGCGCGGTTTCGAGGTACTCTGAACTGGGCGCCAAGATTCCCAAGGGTGCCTTGCAACTCAGCTGGTGCACGTTTTGGTCATTTCAGAGAGGCAGTTGAGACTTTGGACTCATGTGTTGTCCAACTACGTCTTACTCACACTCATTGATGATGTCCAAGAATAAGACTCATGCAATCAGTAGCCATCACGAGCCACTGAGAAGAACCCCCGGGGTTTTAGCCGAGTGATGGATGAGTTTGGGATGGAACGTATGACATGATTTATTGTTGTATTTCTGAAGGTTGTGGTCCAAGACCAAAAATCATAGACGTAGTGTATCAGGTTTTCATTCGGGGTGGCATTTAGAGCATTCCGCTGTGGCGTTGGTGGAGCATTTCCACATGCCACAGCTTCAAATAGAGCCAAGTAGAGCACACTGAGTGGACGATCGGATCGGTGCACCAGAGCTCCGTCCGAATCGATCGCGTGGACGCGCGTCCGGGTGGGGGACGGGTTCTGTATACCAACAATGCGAAGCTGCGGAGCGGATCGCTGAATTGGCCTTCGGCACGTTGGGCATGAACACTGAACTGAACCAGCCTCTCCTCATGGTTTTTCTCTGATCGAGACTGGTGTGTGCCTGCAACAAACAGTGACCGTGAGAGTCGCAGAAAAGACCCTATTTAAAAGATGGTCTTGATTGAATCAATGTGCCCTTTTCGTGCCCAATGGATCGTCCACATCCCGTACTTTGACCCTTCAATCCCGCTCATCCCTCACGAGATATGTGGATCTCCCATCGATCGAGCCGAACGATGGGCCATGGGGTACCACATCCGCGACCCCGAACGACCGATCTGCGGCGCCGTGAGGTTGGTCGGCCCTCCTGGCACGGGGAAGACCTTGCTGGCCAAGGCGGTCGCTGGAGAGGCACCGCGTCGTACGCGGCGGTTTTGGAGCAACTCCTGCGACGTGCTCTGGGGTTCCCAAAACGGAACAGGATCATCCGTAAGGGGTTCACCAATAGACTACCCTGATATTATACTTTGCACTACCAAAAATGGAACTCCATGGATAAAAAGCAAAATTCGGATGATCCTGGTGTTCTTTTGGTCTGGTGGATTTGGACACTCCTTCATGATCAGTCAGGTGCTCCTTCAGCATGGAGGGATGGGCGGGGTCGGAGTCGGCTGCGTTGGGAAGGGAGTGAAGAAGTTGATGGAGCGGAGCAAAGGGGTTTTGGACATGGTCATCGCGGGTTCAGGCCACAGGCAGTGCCTATTTTGGGGATGCTCAGTTACTAGCGTTTTTGAGCCGGAGGGAGCGCTTCGCAGCTTTCATGGGGCAACTCATGGAGATGGCGGAAGAGATTGGGCGGTGGAGCATATCTGACTCACGCGGGAGCGTCTTGCCCATTGCCGCTTCTCTCGAAGAAGTTGTTGTCCTGGACCAGTCAGAGAGTTGAGAAGAACGCTTTCAAGCGGGTCTTGGATCACCCAAAGTAATGCATTCTTGTTGATCGACCCAAGCTGCCACTGATCTACTATCATCTACTATCCAATAACCACCCAAATTATGGGTGTTGCTGGCACAATATATAGACAGGTTACGTCGACGCTCTGTTCACAGCCCAGGTTCGCTCCCTCAAAAGCTAGGGATTGGTTCCGCACGACCGCTCGCCGCGGTTCTTTTCTCGGGTAAAAAGAGGCTTCGTATGGTTTCATGCCTTCACAAACTTGGTACACTTCTTGATTTAAGTGCATGTTCCTGCACTCTCAAACTAGGTACACTTCTTGATTTGTGTGCACCTCTTCTCAACCAAAACCATGGTACACTTCTCTATTTGTGCACCGGCACTCCCCCTTTGGCCAAAAGTGGCCAAATTTCGGTGCCATCTCCTTCGGAAAACAAGACCTTTTCGGCCTTCCCTCAAAATGGTCATTTTGACCTTCAGCTCAAGCCCCCTTTCACTTCAAGTCTGGGCGTCCTGAAGAGCGTGTAGCCGACCCACGTGTTGGGCAGATAGGAGCTTCTCTTCCCCTGCCTCCTGTCGACCATGATGTACTTCTCCTTCCTCAGGGTCGCCCAAGCAATCGTGAGCCTCCATGGCAGCCACTCTCGCTCGTCCCAGAGATGCGGGTTCTCGAAGTCGAACATCTTCTTCCTCTCCTGGACGTGTTCCCTGATCGTCACCTTCCCCCCGTCAGGCAGGTCCTCGATCGTCAGCCACGTGTCCTTCGCTGCAGTCCTCTTTGGTGGAACTCCCACCTTCCTTCGCAACGCCGCCGTGAAGAACCCCGGCTGGAAGAGCTCGTCCTGCAGGAAATCCCACACCTCCTCGTTCCATAGGGTCCACTTCCCGAGCGTGATGCCATCGCCGACCGGTGAGATGAAGTTCAATGCCTCACTCCTCATCCCGATTCCCTTACTTCCGAAGGCCATCATCTCGGACGCCCCGCCCCTGGAGTCTGCTGCTCCTTCGGTCTCGACTGTCTCCTCCGTCTCGCCAGCTCCAATGCCCGGTGCCCCCTTCGATGCCGATGATGTAGTGCCTTCCTCTACCCCTTCAGCTCTCTGTGTTACCGAGGGCTGCGGTGGTCGATCCGAGCCGTGCTCATTGAAGATCACGTGAGTGCCCTCGGAGTCCATCATGATCCAAGTCCCTCCGAAGTTCTTCCTAGGGCCTCGTCTCTCCATCATCCGATCCCAGGCCGACATCCCCAGGCCCAGGCTCGCTCTCCTTTTCCTCTCTGCCTCCGGATCATAGTGTCCACGATGCCATATGTCAGGATCGGGTCCCGGGTGGCGTTCATCTGGTTCAGGTCGGCTTGGAGATGGTTGGCCAGTTCCACTGCCTGCCTCTTCAGCCGATGTCCGGCCAGGGGTCATCAGGTTCTGCCCAAGGGTATGCTTCTTCGTGGGCTGAGTATCCAAAACCTCTGCTTCCCCTCTGAGTTTCGCTCAGGTCCTCCACGTGGTTAACCCCCACCTCCAGGATGCGCTCCACGACCAACTGAGCCACTCGATCACCCTTGTAGACCCTTAGGTCGTCATCAGACCAGTTCCTCAGCAGAACCTTCACTTCGCCCCGGAAGTCCCGGTCCACCACTCCAGCTCCCGTTTCAATGCCTCGAATTGCCAGCGATGATCGTGGGGCTATTCGTCCATAAGTCCCAGCCGGCAGCTCGATGGCAATCCCGGTCTTGATCAGAACGCTCTCTCCTGGAGGGACCAAGGTCTCAATGGTCGAGTACAGGTCCAAACCAGCGGCATGATCTGATCCTCTGGTCGGCAGTCGGGCCTCCGGGTTGAGCAGTTTCACCCTAATTTCCTCTCTTGGCCTGAACCAACGTTGGATGCCCGAAGTTCCCACCCGAAAGGCGATGTCGACCAGGATCGCGATGGCTGCCGTAATCAGCACAATGATCCACCATTCACTCGTGGTCTCTGCCGTCTTCACCTCCGCTGCCTCCACTCTTCCCAACAGACTGGTGGCTGCGATGAGGAGGCCAATTCCTCGAGTGAACCCCGGTTCGACCCCTTTTGTGAGCTCAATCTTCTTGACTGCTATTGGCTCCTTCTCTGCTCCCTTCAACCCCAGAGCCTCCTTGAACCTCCCCAGTGCTGGTCCAGTCAGCTGCTTGGCGAAGCCATCCGCCACGAGGACCTTCCCTGACACATGATCCAACGTGACCTCCTTCTCCCGGATCGCCTCGGTGAGTCCAGCTGCCCTGATCCGCAAATGCCTCGTCCTCCATGACGATGTCGTCCCCGTCGCGATGGCGATGGCCGCTGTCGAGTCTGAGTGAAGCCTCACCTCTGCCTTCTCCTCCACGACGGCTTCCAACAAGGCTGCCGTAGATCTCCCTGCGATGAGCCCTTCTAACATCGCCATCAACTCGGCTTCTGCAGTTGAGAGTGTTATGAACGGCTGCCGTGTTGTCTGCCATCCGACGGGCGTTCCCCCGACAAAGACGACTACTCCGGAAATGCTCTTCAGCTCCGACGAACCATAGGAGGCATCCGTGTAAATGTCGACCGTCCTGATCGAGGCCTTCTCATCGCTGTTGACATTCTCCCGGTTCCCACCACCGTCTGCAGACATAACCAAGACTTCCTCTAGCGTCTCCTTGAGGTGTGCCCGGATCTGCTTCCCGATTTTGATCACCTGAGTCGGCCTCTTCGATGCCCACTGTGACATAATGCCAACCCCCAGCGACAGGTCGGGCCGTGATCTTCCTGCCACCCACAAGAGCTCACCCGTCTCCTTCTGCGCCTGGAGAACCTGGTCCGCGGTTGGCTGTTCCTCCTCCTCCGGAGTTCGGACTTGGCCCAAAGCGCTCCTTCCAGTCTCCTCGTACTCACCCAGCAGGTTGGTGATGTAGGCCTGTTGGTGGATCACATAGTCGACTCCGCGCTTCTCGATTTCCATTCCCAGGAATCTCACAGGCTCTCGCCCTTCTACCACCCATTCTGGTTCTCCGATCTTCCAATGGGTTTTCACTTGGTCAATGAACTCCAGGATGATGTCCTCCTCACCCACCATGAGCACGTCATCAACGTATGTCGCCAGTGCTCCCTTCGTTTTCCAGCCAGCATTCTCATCTTCCTCCTGGATTAGCCAGATGTCCGTCTGAAGGGTGGCCTGCACTCGGACTGGTCTTCCTTGTCGATGCCATCTGAAGTCCTTGATCTTCCCATCCCGGTGGTCACACCAATCACGAGGAGACGTCACTAACCCGTAGAGTGCTTTCTTCACCAGCCACAACTCCTTGGGATTCGCCAACACCTCCGCCTCCTGGAAGATCCTTGGTGGTTGCACGATAATCGTGCCTCGCTCATGGGCTGCCGGAGCGTTGAGGAAGGCGGTCTTGACGTCTAGCGTCGCCAGTGACCACTGGTTGACCGCTGCCATCTTGATCAGCATCCTCACCTCAGTTCCACTCGCTCCGGATGCAAAGGTCGACTCTGTGCTCTTGGCGTTCATGAAGTTTCCACACGCCACTCCCCGACATTTGTGTCGTCCGGATCCAGCCTTTCGGCTGAAGATGGCCTTCGCCGGGACGAGGTCAAAGTCCTTCCCCTGAGCCACCGCCTCTGCCTTCAACTGGTCGGTCCGGTCTCGATCGATGGGCTCTACTGCCTCTGATTCCGTGATCAACGCGGTGTACTCTTCCACCATTGATGGTCTCCACTCCTCCAGGTTCTTTCGGACTTCAGCTAGGCCGACCATCCTCGTCTGAAGGAACTGCTGCTCATCCCCTCTGGCCTGTGCTGCTTCTGTCAACCGGGCCGCTTCATCCTGCCGCCCTTGGATCATCGCCTCCTCTGAGATCTCTTCCACCTCTGCCGTCAACATCTTGATGAACCTCTTGTTGACGATCTCCCCCTCGTCCTCTTCCAGGAGGGACAACTCTCGAGCCAGATGTTTGGCCCCTCGGTGCTGCAGCTCCCCCCAGTCTATGGCCTGATTCTCATCGGCAGAGCCCTGAAGGAGTCTCATGCATTTCCTCACTCGCCCCGGCCTCTTCCGTGGCTGATCCACTTCCTCTCGGTCGTCCACCTCATGGATGTAGCCGGCCTCCCTCTCCGGGACCTCCAACTCCGCAGGTGCCTCACCGACCTGAATGATGTCTCCCGTGTGGAACATCTTGCCGGATTCGACCTCCTGAACCAGATACCCTGGAGTGGTCATTGACATCGTCACGGCCGGGCACAACACTCTGACCTTGGTGCGGGTCGTCGAGAGGTACTTCTGCCGGTCGCTGTAGTACTTCCTTTTTGCCCAAACCACCTGGCCGAACGGGGCCAAATCTCGCCTTTTCCACCCCATCGACTCCAGCTGACGTCTCAAGCGACCTTCTGCCCAATGCCTGGCTGCGTGACACCAGAAGCTCTCATCTAACCCGGCCGCAATGAGGAGCGTTCGTGCACCACGTTTCACCTGGGCAATCGCATTCTCTGCACGGCCGTTTCCCTTGAAGTTGTCACCGTCATTGAAGGTTCTCAGAATGCCCCTGTCGTGACACCACTTGTGGAACGCTCGGGATTGGTACTCCCCTGCGCGGTCCGAGTGCAAGCGCTTGACCGGGAGCCCCAAAAAGTCCAGTTTGGCGGCCATTCTCCCGATCGCCTCAACCACTGCAGGTCCTCCTCGATTCTCCAGCACCTCAACGATCAGGATCTGCTTGACCTGGAAGTCCTTCTCTGCTTCCACCTTTTCCAGCCAGGCCTTCTCGTCATTCAACCCTGGCCACTTTTCTCGCACACCCCCTTCCTCTTCCATCTCAACCACCGTCAGCTCCGGGCCATCACCTAGAGCTCCCGGCAGTTCATCCTCCTCATTAATGGGGATCAGTGATTGCCCTTCCTTGGTCACCGGAGCCAGGTAGACACCCACGAGCAGGTAGCGCCCCTTTCCCAATTGGTCCTCCGCCACCTCAAACGGCCCGGCAGTGTCGATCGAAAGGGTGTATGCGTCCGGATGCGGGACGCGTCGGTGAGCCTTGCTCCTTGAGGCAGCGACAACACACGCCCTGCATTCTCTGCTGTATGGCAGGTGACCATTGAGTAGATGCCGCTGCCAGGCGCCCAGGTCCATCCTCTTCAGATGAGAGTCACCCCTCTCCAGCGTCTCCTTCACCGCCACCACCAGTGCTGCCTTCAAGCCAGGAGCCCATGCCGCCCAGGACTTTGATCTCGCAATCCTCTCTTGGATTGAATCTCCTCGGTGTTCTTCTCCACCATGTCCTGGTCCACGAAGTCCCTCGAGTTCCCTCAGCCTGGGCATGTTCGTGCCCAACCTTGTCGGTTTTCTACGGGCGTGTCCCATTGGTCCTTGGTCGAACCGCACCTCAAAAAGGTCCCACTTCTCCTTGATTGTCCGCCACTCCGGCCATGACCAGTACGTGGGATATCGAGGATGTCGTTCCACCTCCTGCTCCATCTTGGACTCACCCAGGTATGCCTCAGGATCGTCAGGCTGTTCCAGTGCCGTGACCACCTTCCCTGGGGATGCCGCCTTTGAGGCTCGGTGATGTAGGTACACCTGTCTCAGCCACAAGAGGGTGTCATCCTCCACCTGCTGCTTCAACACTGGGTCCAACCCTGGCAAACCGAATCTTCCAGGTCCTTCTCGCTCTCGAAGGGGTGGAGGGCCAGGTTGTCTATACCTCAACCGGCTCATTGTCCTGCAGGGGGGTCCTCCGAGCAGTGCCCGCAGCGTTCCGCCGTCCGCGATCTCCAGCAGGTAGGCGAAGACGTCATCTCGCAGGAGGTTCATTCCGGGGTCAATCACCGTGTCTACACAAAGAACTGCTCTGCCCTCGGACTCCAGTTCCTTTTGCCAGTATTTCTTGGTGTCCCCGCTGAACAGATGGATCACCACCTCCCGTGCTTTCCTCACCCTCCTTCTCTCATGCCAGTTCCACGGAAGAGCCTCCCCGGTCCATCCGACCCTTGGCAAGATCCTCACCAGCAGCCGAAGAGGAACTTCAGGAAATAGTTCACGAAGTTCTTGAAGATGTTGGACTTCTCCCAACTCCAATCCACTCTGACTCTCGTCCCCATTCAGGACCGCCAGGCGTGCTCGTTCCCGAACCATGCTCCTCTCTATCTCAGCGATGAGCTCCCGTCCCAGCCCCTCAGTGACCGTCGGACACATGCCCTCGACCGTGACGTCCAGCAATGCCCCGCTCGGGTCTGTCGGCGTGAATCGATCTCTCTCCCAGTAGGCTTCGTAGCCCAGCGAGATCAACACTCCCAGGGGCACGATGGTCTGTACCTCGTTCTGTGTCAGGAGAGTCTTCGTCCATGGAATCTGGCGAAGCAGAACCGACCCTTCAGCCAGCTCCACTCGGACCTCCTGTGCTCGCTGCCATTCTTCCTCAGACTCAGCCTTCCTGAGACAGTGAGTTGCTCCTCCGTCGAGTAGGGCTCGATCATTGGTTCTCACCTCGAGGCTGCTGAGTTTAATGGCCTTCATCGCCATTCGACCATCCCCCACTGGCCTCAGGCTCTTCAGAAGGGTGGTCGCCTCCGACAGCAGAGCCTGCACCTCCCCCGAGCTCGCGGCAGGTTTCTCCACCTTCTTCTCATCCACCACCTCCTCGACCGGGATCTGCTGGTCCTCCTGGTTCCCCTCATTCTTCTCGATCTTCTTAATTCCGGTGCCCTTCTCGGTGCCCTTCTTGAAGGTCTTCATCTGCTTATCCCCCTCCGTCTTGGGCTTTACCGACGGGCAATCTCTCTTGGTGTGCTTGGTCGACGAGCATCCAAAGCACCGGCCTTTCTTTTCTAAGCCTCCCCAGTCGTGCTTGAAGCGGCAGTCCTGGCCTTTCCTACAGCCATCATCTGACCCCCAAAAGCGACAGGTCTTCTCATCGGGCTTGATGTCGACCTTGGCTTTCTCAGTTCCCTTCTCAGTCTTCTCTTCCATAGTGGCGGTCATCGCCTTGACCTTGGTAGCCGGAGGAGAGCCCTTGGTCTCCTGGATCGGCTGCAGCTCGCTGATGGCAAGGGACTCCGCCTCGGCCGTGAGCATGTCCGCGAAGCTCAGCACCGTCTCCAGGTTGGGCGTCACATCAACTCCCAATGTCGCCCGAGTCGACGACATTCGAAATGCCACTTGGCTAGATCTCTTTCCCACCAACTCCGTCATCTTGTCCAGAGCTCCCAGCAGTAACGTGGCATCCGGTGTTGCGATGTCCAGCTCCTGCGCTCGCCTCAGACTTCTCCTCCACCCTCGAAGTGCCTCTACCACCTCGTTCATAGATTGAGGAGCCTTCGGTTCCACCAACTGTCGAAGCAGGCGGGACCGTTCTGCAAGTCCACCAGGTTGATACCTCCGGAACAGGGCGTACAGGACTTCAACTGAGCTTGTCGTCCTGCTCGCCAGCACCTCCGCCTTGATGTTCTGCGGAGCGGCATTGATCAGCATCAATTGACCTCGCTGTTCAAGGCGACTCCACACCCCCGAACACTCTGGCGGCGTCCGTGGCCTGATGTACAGGCGCTGCACCGGTTCTGCTTGAAGCCAATCTCGATAAGCCACCATGGCCAGGTTCAACACCTCTTCCCACCACTTCCAACTCGTGGCACTCAAATCCTTCATCGTCGGCGTGATGAGCTGAATCCAGTCTCCGAGGATCAACGAGCCCAGATCTCCTTCCCGTAGGTCCTGCAGCGGTGGAAGCTCAACCGATCTGATCACCTCCCCCCAGTTCCCATCCGACGAGCTCGTCCCAAGCTGCCTCAGAACCGACTGTGCCGCCTGTTCCAGAGGAGAGCCCTTCATCAGCTCTTGCATCCCTTCTTTGACTCCATGATGTCCCGGTTCTTCACCAGGTTGACGTCCCGGAGGTAGTCCCCACCCTTGAGCACCCCAAGAACCTGGCACTCCTGGTACTCCCGAACCACGTTGGAGTCCGTCTCTCCTCATAGGGTCCATCGGCTTGGTCTCAATGCCACCCACCGGGAATTCCGGAATTTCCACGTCGGCCCATGCCTGACCCAGAGCTTCCTTTCTCCCACGGTCAGGTGTCGCCGGTGGTGGTGCCTTAGGAGGCGAGGGTGGTGGTGTAGTTGTCGGTGGTCGCGGCTGATCCTCAATGGCCTTGGCTGCCTTGGTTTCGACCGTCTTCCGAAGCTCAGCCAATTCCTTCTTCAAGGCCGCATTCTGGGTCATCACCGCCTTCAAGAGCTCCTGGATGTCCATTGAGAACCCTCGACCTTCCTCTCCAGGCTCCACCCGTCCAGAAGTCGAAGGGCCCTCAGGGAATCCCGCCTCCGACTCGGCTGTGGGCAGCGCTGCAGGCCGCATTGCCCGGAGCATCACTTCATTCTGAAGTCGCTCGCTCCAGAAGGGGTTGGTGACGACTTTCCCCTGAAGTCCCTTCCCCTTCCCTTCCTTCTCACGACCATCACCACGTCGGGTTGGTCCATAGACCACAGGTGGTCCTCGAGGCACCGACTCCGCCAGCACCAGCTCTCCACCAGGGTAGTCCTCGATGGCCAGCTGCTCCTCTTCCTTGGCGCTCTCCATGGAGCCTTCCTCGGGAGTCGAGGACGCAGCTGCCGCGGTCGCCGCCCCGCGCTTCGCCATGGGAGCCAACGACCAGTGGGTCCGCTCGACCTCGACTGGGTGGTCTTACCCACCTAGCAACCGAGCGTTGGGCTCATAACCCGCACGACCGCTCGCCGCGGTTCTTTTCTCGGGTAAAAAGAGGCTTCGTATGGTTTCATGCCTTCACAAACTTGGTACACTTCTTGATTTAAGTGCATGTTCCTGCACTCTCAAACTAGGTACACTTCTTGATTTGTGTGCACCTCTTCTCAACCAAAACCATGGTACACTTCTCTATTTGTGCACCGGCAGGTTCAACCCCAGACCCCTCCAGAGGATTCGGGTCCAGGTGACGACAGGTCCCAATCATACCCCTCACGGCCGGCCGCGAATCTGGGTCTGGGCGAATCTGGGCATTCTCGCTTCACCGAAAACAGTTCTGATCTTTCGATGTAGGGAAGCAATTTTATATAGCCCAATTTTACCAGTACATGTGATGTGTTGGAGGATGAGACCGCGTTTTCCTTCAGCCTTAGTCGTAGGTCATGTTAACAAAAAAAGAAGGGGTATCCGGCACCAACGGCGCGTGACCAGTTTTTCAGGCAGCGGTGCCATTCTTCAGCATCAGTGCTTCAGAGTTCGTGGAAATCTTCGCAGGCGACCGAGCCGGGGTGCGCGATTGCAACCGAGTTGGAAGGAGATGGGGAGAAAGCAAGGAAGTTGGACCCGCTTGAAAATTGGAATTGCCAACGATTGGCAAGGTAAAGACAACCTCCTACGACTGAATGGATGATGGGTGGCTTGGGTGTCTTTTTCTGGCTCATCGTCCTGGCAATATTGTTGAATCTTGGAGTTGGATTCGCATAGACTCGTGTTATGGTGGCTGTGATTGGCCTCACACTCCTTTTTGAAACTCCCCACTACAGTAGTGCAAGGGTCCTTTTTTTCAGGGCGAGTCAGAGCCTCCGCACCAGTAACATTGGATTCTGGTTGCATCTTGTTGCTTCGAAGTATAGGATAAGGCCATCGCTATTAGATTGGAGGCCATCGCTATTAGGTTGGAGGCCATCGCTAGTAGGTTGGAGGCCATCGCTAGTAGGTTGGAGGCCATCGTTACTGGGTTGGGGCATTTGCTAGTGGCTTGGAGGCCATCGTTACTAGGTTGGAGGCCATTGCTAGTAGGTTGGAGGCCATCGCTAGCAGGTTGGAGGCCATCGCTAGTAGGTTGCATGGATAGTAGGTTGGAGGCCATCGCTATAGTAGGTTGGAGGCCATCACTAGTAGGTTGAAGGCCATTGCTAGAAGGTTGGAGCCCATCACTAGTAGGTTGGATATATAGAGGTTGGAGGCCATCGCTATCAGTACAAATCACTAATATAGTCTGAAACATTAAAACCATTTGAATCCAGATCATCCGAACATGGAAACATCAAACATGGGAGAAACGACTGGGGGTCCAGTCAACCGGTTTTAAACATGATTGTTATCGGCGATGCACCAAGGAATTTCTTGACACTTTGGGTGTTGCCAACCAAATGTCTGACCATCCTGTCATGAGATCCGAAGTGGGCTGGGTAGTGCTAGGACACCCAGACAGGATAGTCCTGGTTTGGACTTCTTGGGATGTTTCAGCGCAATCCAGGCATTGGTGCTTCCCGCGTGCGTGACCTCTTCGAGCAAGCGAAGAAGCCGCCTGGGCGGAGAAACACGGGTCGATGATTTGGCGATTGCAAAGATCAAAGTAAAGAGGACATAGATTCCCATTGCACATATGCTGGGGTTCTCATTGCAGAAGCAGAAGACTAGTATGAAATCTCGCATTCCTTTGCATTTGGGCTGCACAGTGTGACGGATCAAGATCTATCCTCCCGAGATGTTGGCGAAGATGCCCCAGCCACGTCTTTGAGTTGGAAGAACTTCATCAAATACATACCCCAGACATCCCCAGACGCTCCATGTATGTACTATATGCCGATCAGTTCGGGTGGTTTGGGGGGTCAATGTAGGCATATATGGCAGTCCCATTAGTCGCGTTTGGGTACTGGGTGTTGACAGATGTTGCAAGCCGGGGTCCGTGTCCGGCAGGGTCCTGTCGATCATTTTACAACTCATCTTTGAGCAATGTGACACTTGATGTCACCCCAGTTCTTGAATGAACCAGACGGGCTGCCCGGGTTTTCTAAGACTGAAAGGTGATGACCTATCTTTGGCACCCCAACAGGCATCAGGTGTCTCAGTGGGTCTCAGGGAGCTGGGTCGGGTCTTCAACGAACCGTGAATCGTTTGAGACAGACGGCACAGTTGGCGCCGTCCGTCGGGGGCCATGGGGCCTGTTCATCGAGGAAAAGGACCAGTACGGAGCCGTTTGTCCGTTGCACCACCGGTGATGCTGTTTGGCTGAGGAGTGCACCCTGCATCATTTTCATCGACGAGATTGATGCCGTGGGCCGGCAGCGCAGTGCGGGCTTTGGTCAAGGCTGGTGTCCGGGGCAGGGGCCGACGGGTCGACGGGCCGAGGGAGAAACTCCGCCACGACTCCCTGGGCCTTGAACACGAAGTGCAAGGCGTGTTTTTTCTCCTTGGGTGCTTACAGGCGGGCTTGACAGCTGTTTCGAGGTGAGCAAGCATGAAACGGCCAGGCAAGAGCAACAAGAGCAAACATGAAACGCTGCAGTGCAACAAACATGCAGCGTCGAAAGGAAATACTGCCAAAGAAACACGAGATGCCGGGATAAACAGGCATAACTTTTGCCCAGCACGAGGATCCAGCTATGAGTTGTGGTGGCATTTGGGGGAATCCGGCTGCAGTATGAATGTTTATTGCGGCAGACTAAACAACCTATAGCCTACATTGCTTTGTGTGTGTGTGTGTGTGGGAGTTAGTCCCAGTGGAACCATTTGCAAAGTACAGTATAGCATAGCATTTGACTGTTGAGGAGTGAGAACCATGTGTTGTGACGAAGCACACCTAGAGCTATGAGTCTTTTTTTGGTTGGTCCCTATTTCCAGATTAGAACGCTGAGATGATGTTTGGTCATGGTATCCTTGCTTAACAAATCGTCGGTCCTTCCATCGTAGAATCATTGACAGTTGACAGTTGACCCATAATCACACCAAGCCAGCCCATGCAGATGCATGCAGATGCATGAGGTATCCTCCCCAAAACCACAAAATCTAAATGAGGAACCAATGGGGCTCAATGACAGCAGAATCAGAACTCTGTTAACACATTGTTAACACCATTGGTTTGTTCTTGAGACATATCATATCAACTTTGGTGAGGGAACATTGGAATATATTGGACTTAAGATATAATCGGTTTGTTGGAAGTTGTTTATTTTGGTGGGCAGCTTAATAGTCATCCTTGCTAGTGCAAGTCTCTTTCACGCTTCCAAGAATGAACCATCCACAATGCACGAAGCATCCCGGCAGATGCTCAGAGACTGCTCGAGACGTTAAGACCCGGCCTTTTGGTGGCCTCACAAGTCCAGGTCACCGTCGATGATTCTGGGGCGGGCGGTTGATGCAGACCATAGTTTCAATCCTTCCGAAACCGTGGCAATGGGTATCAGTATAGTGGTATCAGGTTTTTATGTTGTTTTGGCGTCGAAAGAGCAGCCGGGCCGCTGCACGCCGTTCCTTCCTTCCGAAACCACGGAGGCAACGATGAGCGAGAGCAGACGGTGAACCAACTGCTCACGGAGATGGATGGCTTTGAGAGCAACAAGGTGCCGCGCGGGGGTCGGATCGCGGCCATTCGTAGGGCAAGGCAGAAATGGCAAGGTCGGACTGGCGGAAGGGCGGCTTGGGGTATTGGGAAGGGCGATGAATTGAGTATATATATATGGGGTTTGGTGGTGAGGGCTTAAGAAGCATGCCAGGACATTGGCTTAGTACTTGGGGCAGTAGCAAGCAGGTTTGGCCAATCAGCTGCAGAAAGAAGGGAATGAATACCTTGTGATAGCTGCCAAAAGGCTTGTTTTCTTCACGGTGGCATTGGCATGTGTGCTACTCGTACTTACAGCTCTGGTGCAAGCATCGCAAGGGATCCATCAGAAAATCCTTGCTTTCAGCCTTTGTCAGCTGGCGAGTGTCTTTTCCTTCACCTCACGGCCTCCAAGCCTCCATCGCCAGGTCGTCGTAGGGCCTCCAAGCCTCGGACGGCATCATGTAGGGCCCAACCCCCCAGTCACAGCTTCCAAAACGCAGATGGAGTTGCTCATGTTGCTCCAAGACTTTTTATGTCAAGTTCTGGTCATCCGCCACTCATGAGATTTCATCAGGGCGTGGTGGTCATCGCCGCCACCAATCGCGCGGACATCCTGGACCAAGCCTTGGTGCGACCTGGTCGTTTCGATCGACAGATCCAGGCGACCGACATCGACCGATCCAGTGACGATTCGTGGGGTCGGTCGATGTGTCCCGAAGTGGAAGGAGAGCTATACCTGCAACCGAAGTCGTTTCTTTTGTCGGTGCTTCAACATACCTGTATTTAGTGTTTGTGAACCACATAAACATTTGCAACCAAAATAAACATCCGCTTAAAAAAAACATGTTCGGGAAGAACGCCTTTGGCTCACCAATAAACGCCCTTAGCTTGTGTATAAACGCCTGTGGAATATCTAAAAAACATCAGAAAACCAGAGAAACGTCCGCAGACTCAAATATAAGGCTGTGACTCCAAAAGATGTTTTTTCACGCCGCAGATTTAAAAAAACACTTTGAGATACTCTGAGGAAGTTCCAGGTGTGCACTTGGGGATCATCACAGCTGATCCTATCCCTGCTCCTATCCCTGATCCTATCCCTGCGGCTTAGAACCGCTTTCTTCATCCGCAGGTGGATCCACCGGACGTGCAAGGCCGAACGGAGATCCTGAAGGTCCATGCGAAGGACGTGGTTCATTGACGGTGCAGAAACAAGACCAGACCCCTTCCTGCAAAGGGGTCTCCAATAGACCAGGATATATATATATATATACTATATTTACACTACTTAAGTGGATCTTTTTTTTTTGACTCGCCCCTTTGAAGGTGCAGGTGGACGGTATGATACGGTACGTAACACATTCGACCCATCTAGTATTCCCGATTTCGGGACATCATGGAGGAGGACAACGTACGACCAGGAAAGTTTTCAGAAATGACGAGAACTCATTTGGGGTGAGGGTAGGTTTTCTTGGGGAAGAACATGGAAGAACATTGGGAACGGAAACATTGGAGCAGGTAGACACGTCCAAACCATTGCAAACCACTCAGATCTTAAGACCTTAAAACTCCAGGGCAGGTACCTGCAAATCTACCTCGGGGGAGGGGTGTAAAATGTTGGCACTGGCGCAACTGGCCAGTGCTTGCTTAACAGTGGCACCGATTGCTCTCACTATTGAGAAGCTCGCATATGTCAATCAGAACAAGCTCCAACTTGGCCTAGTATCATTCGCTCCAGATCACCGGTTACGACTCCATCAACGCATTTGTTGGCACCACGTTGGCACCACCAAACCCAAATGGCAGACTCCTTGGCTGTTCGATCCATCCAAACCAAATCCACTCAACTCGCGTGGACTGGTTCTTCCTTGCCCAGCTCCACGTCGTGCCCTGACGCCCGGTCCGCGGTCGAAAGGACAAGACCTTGGCCCCTGGCGTGGACTTGTCCGCCATCGCGCGGCAAACGCCCGGCCACTGGGCCGGTACGGGGGCGAAGGACCGGGGCTGTGGGGCTGAGAGCTGTGTGAAAGGACACCAGGAAGTGGAACCAAGAGGTTCTTGCAAGGCGGTTCGTGAATGAACAGCTGGCGACCGCAGTGTGGACCTTGATTCCAGTCGTTCTCGAACGCGACCCAATGGCCTGGCGATGAAGCCAATGGCCTGGCAGCGCACCAAAGAAGTGGCTCCTGGCCACTTCAAGCACTGATCAAGCCCAGAAATGACCTCGCCTTTGGTGGCAAAGGTGACATGACTTCGGACTCAGCATGCGAAGAAAGTCCGGAAAGATATGATACTTAATTCAGTCAAAGGCTATCATTAAATTTATAGTCTTTTAGTTACTGTATATAGTGAGCCACAGTTTTTGGTGATATGTTTAGTTGAGAAGCATCCCCACCACGGGGAAGACACATCACATTCAGGGTGATGTCAGTCACTACCTACACGAGGGTTTTGCAGTTCCCCACATTTGGTTTTGGCTCAATCAGGGGTGTCAATGCAAATTGTTGAGAAAAACTGCAGTGAAAGCATGCATGTTTTGTGCGCGTTTTGTGTTGTCCTTCATTGTTGTTGTTCTTCCGCAGCCTTTGCTGTCCTTTTTGCACATCTACTCTTTTAGAGGTATTTGAGATATGCTTTTCACCCCGCATGGCGGGTGAAAACTACAAACACGTTGATGGTTTCAGGGTCTCCTACGACACCAGCGGTCATTCATGCTTTGTCCTTTGTACATTGTAGGCGGTGGATGTCCTGTTAGGGAGCGCTGTACGGCCGCTGCAGGAACAGACTCCCCTCTGGATGTGCTTATCCACTTCACTCCGAAAAGGTTTATCCTGGCTTTGCTTGGTGAAGAGCTCAATGTTCATACTCCAGCATCATGATAAACCACATGTTATAGGGTTATTTCTTGAGTGGCAGTGTGACCTCTAGATTTTGGACCGCCAACCACCCAACAGATGGTTTTCTCCTATCAAAACAGGGGTCAAAAAGGTTGTAGGTATTTGTAGGTGCTCCGACTCATCCAATACTTCACAACACACTGTCACTATAGTTACAACCATCGCCATTTGCCCCCACAGCACCCTGTCGTCGGACCGCTCCGTGTCGGCGGACCGCTTCGCGGCGGGCGGACCGCGGCGCGCCGACGTCGAGGCATGTCGGGTGCCGACCTGGCGAACCTGCTGAACGAGGGCGCCATCGTGGCGGCCAGGCAGAACAAGGCCGAGATCGACGCCGAGGCGAGGACGGAGTTAGACGAAAACGGCAGCCTGAAATCAACGAGGAGCAGAAACAGCGCCAGCTCGAGCGCCCCAAGGAGTTCAGCCCAGCTAGCGACGTCTTCTGGGGTCAGAAGAGGATGACATTTGGTCTTCAATCAAGAGTAATGTCGACGTCGGATTAATCAACGGGACCCCCCCCC